AAATTCGCGCAATTCTGCTGGCTGGTCCGTCTATTACAGCCATTAACATGAAAATAACCGAGAAGGTAACACGTAATGCCAAAACAGAGTTGGAAGGCATTAATTGCGCGAATTGTACAAATTTGCGTACCTAGGAACTGTACCGAGTACTTTTTTTTTCTGGTACCTATACCTATACCTAGGTATAATTTCTTGTGTACCGGTACCTATATATTTAGGTACACTTTAGTTATTTTTCAAATTCATAATTGCTTAACTGAAAACTTCATCATACAAGATTTGAGTGTGTAAATTTATTAGAATGATCTAAATTAGAATGAAAGTCTAAATGTTTATGATTTTTTAAATGTTATCATTCTAATAAATTTATTTACATATTCAGATACTGTGTTAATAAGTAACATTTTAATAATAGCGGGGTACTAAAAGTCACATTTTTATAATAAGTAAATGTGTATCTTGTTACATTCATGTATCATATGTCAATATGTACATGTCAATTCTGATAAAACTAAAATGGTTTTATAAATTAAACTTGCATAGAATATTTATGTATGTATACATAAGATATATGTATAATAACTTAATAATTAAATATTACGTGCAGATACATGAAATATATAGATCATATTTAACAAATAAGCTGTCGAAATTGCATTTTGTCGTCAAAATGCAATTTATCCTGAGCTTTCATGTTAAAAATAAAAGTACCTATAAGATACTTTTAAGGTACATTTAAAATACCTGTACCTGTACCTAGGTATATTATTTTTTTAGTACTACCTGTACCTGTACCTCGGTACATTTTTTCTAGAGTACCTGTACCTGTACCTAGGTATTGAAAATAGAGTACCTTGCACGTGTACTGCCAATGACATTAATTGTCCTCCTCACATTCGACTATGATTTGTTGATTTCTATGGCCGGTATTCATAGTCGGTTCTCATTTCAAGACTGTCTTAAGTAAACTCTTAAGATGCTAAAGCGGCCCTCTGGCCGGTATTCGTAGTCAGTTCTTATATTCAAGACCGTCTTAAGTTCAGTCTTAAAGAGTTACGAACCAATCAGAGGGTCGCTTTAGCATCTTAAGACATTACTTAAGACAGTCTTGAAATAAGAACCGACTATGAATACCGGCCTCTGAGTGGTTCATAACTCTTCAAGACTGAACTTAAGACGGTCTTAAATATAAGAACTGACTATGAATACCGGCCTATGCCTACTTATTCTTAAGTATCCACTACTGCTATTGCCCATAGTAGAATGGGCTTTACGCAATTGTAGAATTGTAGGGCTTTAGTACAAAAGGCATGAAAATATCAATGCTGTGTTCATCTTTCAAGGTCT